AAAGGCGTAGACAAAACATGTAGCAGGTTAAAAAACGTATAAAGGCATATTCCGTATTACAGTTCAGGACTATATTATAATTGAAACTTCAAACTAACCAGCTGATAATCATATACACAGTATTTCGGAAAATAATAGAAATATTACTATGACATAAATTACATCAAAGAATAGCACGAAAATGACATGATCAAACGAACTTACCTGTAAGTGATGTTCGACCTTAATTATGTAAAGTCCTCGTCGAAGTAAACATTTAGAATACATATCGTAGTACCCTCGTAGTAGTACCCAACCGCCACGATTTCAAAGCCCACTCGCGGAGAATGAAAGCGGCACCGCGCCCCTTCCCCCTACACTTCTCCCCTCTGGCCGCCTATAAACCTTCATTTACTTCAAAGCCAAGTTGTTGCAACAATTGGGTGATACATAGGGAGAGAGGGAGCTATTTACTTCGACGAGGACTTCACATAATTAAGATCGAACATCACTTACAGGTAAGTTCGTTTGATCATGTAATTATGTTCCGTCCTCGTCGAAGTACATATTTAGGATACATATCATAGATGTTCAAACCTAGTTACAACAACATACTACTCCCGCTCAGCAATAGTAAACGATCAGTTGTACACAACTACACAAATTGTACACAATGTATGTGTCAACTAAATGTACACTTCCATTGTAACAATTCAAGTTAAGGCTTTTAGCAGCAGGTAATATGACGTTCCTTGTTAAAAAATTACACAGTTCATAGGGTGTAAAAAGCCTAGTGCTCTGACCCCAAACATCGTGTTTTTTGAAGAAGCTAAAACAAGTTATTCATCATGAATAATAGATGTCATCATCATGTCCAGCAAGTGACGTATTATTGACGTCTACCATATGACGTCATCGGTATGAGACATTAGGAGGTCATTTTCACGTTACCTATATGTCATTTCATGACCCGTTTGTAACGTCATTTTCACGTGCTTGTGACACCTACGATAGTATTTAAGGATACTGAAAGTACTTGCTGCTGACGGTACATGACACATTTAGACGTCACTCTTGATACGTGGGAAACACCGAAAATGTCAATCAACAGTGTTTAACAATGAGGTCAGGAAGAGACAGCCGTATGTCAATTATTGTCAAGTGACAATTTCGCGCGACACGAATCGCTTCCCTTCTGCACAAAGCGATCAGTGTTCCTCAAAAATGTCGGTCAATACTCGACAATTATCGAGTGACATGGTTGCGCGCCTAAGTCGATTCTCTTCGCATCAATGAACGTGTATCTTAAATATACTTCTCTAAATTTTAACAATCTCGTAAATGTGTAATGAAGACAATCAAAGGAGTTTACCAGAAATCCTCCACGGATGGCAGTAGGTTTGTATTGACCTTAATTACACTCTTTTAATCCACTTTAGACTTCTGGTATCTAATTAAGCGTGCTTCGTTCCTGCAAAATTCGATGAAATCTTCCCTAATTTTTGTTCATTCTTGAATAATAAATGATTTCGTTGAAAGCCTGCGTTGAGACGGACTGCGATTAATCTCATTATTAAGTCTGTTCAGTCTTTATCCATTATTCTTCCTTTTGGCTGTGGCTGACCGAATTTTTGATTTCGGGTAGCAGTAAGGGTAAGTTAGGGGAAAGGGGAAATTGATATTATGGGATGGACGTCTTTCAAAATTCAATCCATGTGGAAGTGTGCTAACAGTTCTAGGTATATTAGTTTTTTCAACAAAAATACCAGAAAAAAAGCAAAACAAATACACCCAAGATGCGATTCCTTCTTGAAAAATTCATAAATTATTAAAGCGAAGTAAACATACATCATGTATACCCTGCGCCTCGTTAATGTATTCGGTAGTGAAAACCTTGTATGATGCAGGATTTGATAAAACACTCATAACCGTATGAGAAGTTACCTCTTTTACAGAAAACAGTATGTACAGGTGAATCATTACTTAACTACAGAATGAACTGAGACTTATGGTGTGCTACAAGGAACAATTTTTGGCCCGTTACTATTTGCTGTGTACAGTCGGAGGGCACATGCTTCGCAGATGATACAGCATTCTTTATTCTAATAACGATTCCTAAGAATGCCTTTAAGAAACAGCTGGAAATGTCCTTATGTTAATTTTAGATTGGAATAGACACAAATCTTCAACAATCAAGCCTCAGAAAACAATATATAACCCTTTCACAAGCTTGAAAAGTAGATTACTATATCAGCGATTTAGTTTCTTATGAGTTAAATGTGATACCATAAATACTTTCATATATTCAGCTGATAGGACAAAATATTATGTTTATTTGCACTATAATTTATAATGGCTGACTTGATACGATTATTATTTGAATTGAGGTACCATGTAGAAATGAAGATTTTGTCATGGACTTATTGAATGTTGGATCACTGATCCCATGTTAGAATGAAATGGGGATCTTTCCACGGACACACCATACTATCTTTGTAATCAAAATAAAAGTACTGTCATTTTTTAAGCTTGCTAACATTTTGTCAATGCTCTACAGAAATTGATAAAATCAACTTACAGAATAACAAATGAAAAAATATTCTAGTCATTACTAATAAAATTATACTGTTATCTTTTCAAGGTAATCTGGTAACAAAAATAAGTAGGAACACTTCTCTTTTCGGCATTATATATTCAGTGACATTAGAAGTGTTATACCCAGAAAAAATAATTTGTTTAACTTGATTTTTTGACATCGAGGTAGTCTTACATCAAGAATGAAACGATAACATTCTCAAGAAATTTCATTGACAAGTAATAAGAAAAGAATTAATAATGTATTGGGCGACCTCTCAGCTGAATACACTCCTGTATACGTCTAGGCATCGACAAAATGAGATGATCGATATCTGGTTCTGCACCTCATTCCAAGCAACTCGATAGTAGTCGATTGGCTGTGGCAGAGTCCGTCGCGGATGGTGCAAAATGAATAGTCTCCTCGCCATTATATCCCACACATGTTCGATGGGATTTAAATCTGGTGAACGGGGTGGCCCCGGCAAGATATGATCGCCTGCTTCTTGAAGGAAGTCCGTGATAGTCCAGCAATACGAGGACATGCTTTGTCTTGCTGAAAAAGGACGTGTGGACGTCCCTCTAGCTACGGCAGTAAAGTGGTTTGTAGGAAATCATCAACATAACGCGCAGGCATTTTGCCTTGAACAAAGAGAAGGGGTAATCGGCTACCATAGGCAATAGCCCCTCAAACAATTACTAGAAAAGTCCTGTGTACATGCCTCTCAATAGCAAATCTAATATCACGCCGCTCTCCACGGCGGCGATGAGAGGTCATTTGCATTCACGTGAGGTCGAAATGGCAAAATTCGAAGAAGAAGAAACAAGAAGAAAACGGTAGTCCATGTATTTTGAATTTGACTGGTTCTACAGCACAAGATGTGCGCGCACAAATTCACTTAGTTTTTCATCATTCATGTTTTTGACCAAATATCTCAAAACATTCACGAAATTACATAAAAACACGGCCGTGAAAAGCGAAAAATATCGTTCCAAAACAATGCGATGATCACGGTACGGCGTCGTCGAGGGCACTGAGAACACAGCCACTTCCACGTGCCGGTCTAGTGTGAATCAGTTCATCCAAATTCCAGGAAGAATCTTTTTAGTTACGTCGGGCGGATCACGTGCCGGTCAAAGCACTGTCACGTCACGGCTGAGTATGAATAGACCTTTACCCTTCTACGACCATCGTGCGTGCCTAGACAGAATCGCGATTCGTCCCTGAAGATTACATTATGCCATTCTGCCTCCCAATATTGCCGTTCTCTGCTCCAGTTGGCGACAGTGGTGCGCAGTGAGAGGAAGCACTAATCGTGGACGGTATGGAAAAAGTCCAAGGGCTCAAATGAGGCGATAGAGTGTACGCATAGTAACAGGTCTGCCTTCTTCTCCAAACCATTGGTCAGCGATCTGAGACGTACTAGCAAAACGGTCTCGTAGGGCTAGTTGTCTGAAGCGCCTATCCTGTCCCTCCATGGTACGCCTCGGTAGTTGGCCTTCTCCGTGTTCCTCTACCTTCTCCTATCCACACATGACACACACACGCATTACCGTCATTGCAGTACAATGAACACGGCGGCCAATTTCGCGATAAGACAAACCAATAGGCAATAATTCTACCCCTGTCAAAGTCGCTAACATGGTGATAATTTGGACGTATTCGAACTCGAGGGATTTTTAATGCTTAATACTAATAAATGAAACAGCAATAGCACACAAAATTAGAAATAACATTTTAACGAAGGTAATAAAAAACAAAGATAAAACGTTGACACTGTTGCCATACCATGCTTCAAATATAGTATTACGTCTCCCAAATTCGACGATGTTCAGGAGTTATTAAAGGAAACGACCAGCTCCGTAACAACGTTCAATTTATTCCGCTCTATTTACATGTTTTTTTTGTCCGGTACAATTTATATGTCTTGTCTTCTGTCCTTGGGCTCGCTGTATTATTTTTCGTAACAATCGGCCTTCCTGATCCTCTGGTGTCCTCGCCAGTGGTATAGTATCCATAGTTGTTATTCGTAGCCCTAAGAAAGAAACAAAATAGAGTACCATTTTACTATAAAATATATTACAGGGTGAATGGATTGTAGCATTGCTTACTCACAGTCAGTGTGACCTCAGTTACCACACTTACATACTTTCTTCCACTGTGTGATCTTGGTTACCACATTTATATACCTGTACTAATGTGTGAGCTCAGTTACCACACTCTTTGAATCTATTAGATTGGTGTGAACTTTGTTACCACACACATATTATTTTTAGTAGTGTGAACTTTGTTACCACACGTATATTTACGCATACTACCCTTCATCTAGTGTGACCTCAGTTACCACACCACCACTGATTTATAATGAAACTGCAACTACAAGAACGAGTTTTATTAACATGATAATTAGAGGACATAGAATCAATACTATCTTATACCTTACAGCCTAACCTTCTAACAAATCAATTAGTTCATCAGTAGAATTGATCTCGCTTTCACTTTCTGTAATATCAACGACACCACCTTTCCATTCTCTCAAGCTATCAGCAGCCACTATGGCTCTAAATCTCTTATACCCCTTTAAGCCGTCCAAAGATTTTATTTCATATATATCAGTCCCCAAAACCGTCTTGATTTTATAAGGTCCACCAAAATTTTGATAACCAACTTTCCTACTCCTTTCTGATTTGTATTCGCCCCTGACCATAATACAGGATCACCCTTATTATATGGCTTTGTAGGTGTGTGCTTTTAATCGAAACGTTTTTTCATCTTAGTCGCCAGTACGTCCATCCTCTCCTTTGCCTTCTTCTTAGCATCGGGGAAGACCTCGAACTCATTATCTCCCATATCAGCATGACGGTTTTTTTCATAACCAAACATTAAAAGGTGTGGTGCATACCCGGTAGTATCGTTTACTGTATTATTAATACCCCATAAAACTCTGGGAAGAGCTTTCTGCCAATCACTTTCATTTTCTATGGACGTATTTATCCCATTTAATATTGTTCGATTGTATCGTTCAATTTGCCCATTTGCTCTTGGACATGCTGTAGCGTTTAAAGCATGTTTAACTTGATATTGATTTAAAAATAATTTGAATGCTTTACTAATGAAAGCTTCTCCCCGATCCGAAATTATTATTTTGGGAGTCCCGAACATACTAAATAAATCGTCTAAATGTTCATTAACCTCCTTAGCCCTTGTAGTTTTAGTCTGTCTAGTAAATACAAGTTTAGCGAATGAATCAATTATCATAAGAATATTTGAATTTCCCCTATCACTTTTAACAAATGGGCCCAGATGGTCAATATACCATGTATGAAGGGGTTCGCTTGGCTTACATATGGGAAAAAGTAGTCCTTGTTGTTTCCCATATTGTCCCCTTTTATAATGGCAATCTAGGTACGCAGTTACATATTACGTATTGTATTCCAATGCTAGTTTCGGATTAAGAAACAGAATTGCTCTTCTAGCCCGTTTGATGCCGAGAAGCTTGGTGGGATACGTTAATCCTTTCTGCCCGTGACGGCAGTACGTGTTCACTAGAACCCGCGTTTTTCGCATTTCGCCATGGTGGAAAGCCTTGTTTTAAGGCTAATACCATTGGTTTTTCTGTTCTCCTCACTTTTCACCTTACATATTTATCATTTTTTCATGTATGTCTATTTTGCTTGCTTAAATTGTTATCGTTGATATTTGTTGTTTATGCAATGAATGTATTATTCACAGTGTTCTCCTAATTTAATGAGAATGGTTCCAGACGTAATTCAAATTATGCAGGCACACCACTTCCGAAAAACTTGACCTGCGATTCGCAAACTTTCACAACTGGAATAGATTTTCCATTTTTGCGTGGCAAGCAGAAGAGACAATACTTCAGACTACGAGTAACAAGAATGCACCAATCGGACGAGGGGCGAAACTTGGTTAAAGAAAAAGGACACGACTTATTCTATTGCCCTAACTCACTTGATTTTATATTCTGGAAAGTAATGAATTCTGAGCAAAATCAAAAAAGTCTTACTTGTTTGAAGGTAGATACATATCATTGACGCATTGTCTTATAATTTTGTTTGAAGCTGACATAATAAATCCACTGGGAACAAAGATGGCTCAAAAATTGAGTTTTATATTTTTTCATGCAGATGTAATCCTTGTAGCTTATTGAAAATCCGGTTCTTGTATATCTAATGAATCTTGAAAATATTATCAAGATCCGACTGATTCTTTGAAATATTTCTTTTACTTAATGGATCCTCGAAATTATGCGTCTTTTATCATATCCAGTTAGCATCCTAAGATTGATTTTAATTACAAAAACACGTAAATTCGTTGTGGTGGTTATACACGGTGGACCCACCGTGTATGAACTCCAAACCAAGACTTCCGATTTACCGATTGTTGTACATAGTATGAAGGGAAGGCTCTTATACAGTGATCTGAGTAACTCATTTTATTGAGCAACACATCATAGTTTCGTTTTTTATATGGATTCCGAGATTGTATGCCTTATATTTGATCAAAATATGTGATACAGGTTTAGCAAACTATACATACAACTGTGTTCATTCAAATAAGGTGACAGATTTGCCTAGATGTAGGTCCATAATTATTTTACTTCTTTGATGTTAACAGTACATATGCTACAATTTTCATAATCAAGCCAAAACAGATGGAATGTCTGAATTTATGGAAAATATCAGCAATTGTATACTCCAATGTTACACATACCTGTACTCTTATATAAAGCACCATACTACATAGATCCACATCCAATAAGCTTATCAATTCAGGTGTAACTTAGGTCCCGCCTATAGCTTTTGTACCCTGCAGATTTATCAATTGCAAATGCATGTATGTGTAGTAAAATTTGCGAATAATATGATTATTTTGGTATCTATGAGAATATAGACATAGCATCACAAAATATCCAGAGAAACTTGCTCTTGCCTACATGAAGAAAAAACTGTATGCTAGTCACTATCAGTAGTTTATAATTTCCACAATCAAAGCAAAACTTATACGAAGTATCTTAAAATCAATATAGACAGAAGGCTTACATGGCAAAAGAAGACAAGTGGGCATCAAAATTAGAAGCATAATATTGGATTATTGGTACGAAATCTAAACTGTCATTGGATAACAAACTGTGACTGTATAATGCTTTGTTGAAGTTATTTTCGACAATTGACGTCCAGTTACGGTACATCACAGCAAGCAACCGCAATACCCATATCCTTCAACGGCTCCGGAATAACGTCCTGAGAATGCTCTTCGATGCAATATACTACGTTCTCAATGAAGTGATTCAGCGTGTCACCTCATTCTCTCTACCATCAATTTAGTGATTCACGAGTTCAGAGTTAGATACAAGTGAGAGAGCTAATGTGTTAGCAATTCCATTATATAAAACTAAATTTCCTTTAAATTCTGACAGTCCACTTTCAAGATCTTGGAATTTGACCATTGAAGGTGTACGATACAATATGAGTTGTTCAACATCTAGATGTAGATGTACTTGTCCCTTATTTGATTAAAAGTTCTACTTTACAAACTGGCGAATTTGTACCCATTAAAAAACGATGAACGTTGTGCTCGAATACTTGACTACAAACAATGCATGAAAACTCCCGGTCCATTACGTTGTTTTTCAGCTATGAACGGTGAACGACCTAGAGCTACGTGTGGGGATACAAAAGGTCTCTTCACACACAAAGTACAATACAGCAGACCATTTTTCAAAACCTGGAAGGTACAGTAAAAGGGTCATTATTCTCTTCATTATATATAGAGTATCGGATCGAAAAATGGACCCGTGGCCTGTCGATGAAGCATCAATAATAACAAATGATTTATTATAGATAACATGGACGTACAAAGGAATTGCAATAACCGGTGGTGAAAATATAATTTGCGAAAAGTTAAGGTGTCATTATAAACTCAGTGTTAAACCTATAAAAAATAATTTCTTCAACTTATTTTTTGTCAACATAATGACTATATTCAAAGCATTCTGTGACAACAATGTCAACGTCTTATCCTTGTTTTTGTTTACCTTTGTTGAAGTGTTATCTCTTAGTTTTGTGAAGAAAGCAGTTTCTGAGAGCTGAGTACTACAGGTATTCGTAGTTATTGCCCTTTCATTTACTAGTAAGTGTTGGTTTGTCCTATAGCGAAATTGGCCGCCGTGTTAATTGTACCGGAATGACGGTAATGCGTGTGTCGTGTGTGGATAGAAGAAGCAGAGGAGCATGAAGAAGGCCAACTGGTCCACCGAGACGTACCACAGAGCGAGAACGACAACATAGGCAGGCAGAATGGCATAATGTCATCTTAAGCGACGAATCGCATGATGGTCGTTGAAAGGTAAGACGCCGCCGTGAAAAACGGCGTGATATTGGATTTACTGATGAGAGGCATGTATAGAGAACTGTTGGAGTAATGGCTTGGGGGCTATTGCGTATGGCAGCCGATCACCACTTATCTTTGTTCGAGGCAATATGACTGCTGCGCATTATGTTGATGATGTCCTACAAACAAGACAACGCACATGCCGATATTGCTCGTCGTAATACGCACTCGTCTTCAAGAAGCAGGCGTTAATGTTTTGCCGTGGCCACCGCGTTCACCGGATTTAAATCCCGTGGAACTGTGGTCTGTGAAGGGGAGGAGATTTTTCACTGTGCACCATCTGCCACGGTCTCTGCCACAGCTAACCTGCGAAGTTCGGGTTGCTTGGAATGAGGTGCCACAACCAGACATCGATCATTGCATTTTGTCGATGCCTAGACATATACCTAAGTGTATTCAGCTGCGGAGTCGCCATTATTAAATTTTTTCCTTATTACTTGTCAATAAAATTTCGTGAGAATGTTATCGTGTCATTCTTGATGTAAGACTACCTGATTCCCAAATAACCAAGTTGAAAAAATTATATTTCTAATGTATTTCTTATTCCTAGCGTTTTACATTTATCAACAATGCAGATGTACACACGTGGTTGTAGACATCAATCATTGATGTCAATCTAGTCTTAAGTTTTAGAATGGTGGGAATTTAATATTAATTTTCACATTTGTGGAGTACCTATTATAGTCAAAACGCCAATATATGCTTTTAACCAATGGATTGGAGGATGGATCAGATAGTTGACGATATGTTATTCTCTAAAATGTACATGCTTAATGTGAGCCCTATACAAATATACTGTATAGCAATTAAGATACAAGTATCTGCAATATAGATATAAGATAGAAAATACGTATTTTCATCTTGTATTTGAGATACTGTTGAAAAAAATGACACTTATGGTTTGTTCTTTGACTTTAGCCGTGGTTCCCAAACAGTTAAACATGGTATACCAATACTTAAACTGGAAAGTGGATCAGTTCATGTTTGTCGAATCGCACACATATAACAACTCTAAATGACCATGTTAGTACCTCCAAACTTCCAAATTACGTAGGGGTACCACAGAGGAGCTTACCAGCCACTATCCACTATTTTGTTTTTACTCATGAATAACGTTTTACCATCAATTGGTATGATACGAATTCTTCAGTTTATCGGCATACTTTTGAAATAAATTAAGCATAAGTTACGAGAATGTGTTGGAATATTTGAAAGCTTGCATTAGATCTATCGACAAACATTGGGTTCCAATATTCCAACACAGCAATCTAACTCTGGATTATTTCATTAATATCTTAGAGTACCTTTTCCAGAACAATTTTTTCACTTTTAATAACAAAGTGTTCTCACAAACACATGGTTGCCCCATGGGCTCTGTGTTATCTAAAATTTTGGCAGAATATGTGATGGATGACCTGCCTGATATTGTTATTCAGGTATTGCCATATAATCTAAGCTTCATAAAAAAATATGTGGACGATATCGCTTGTCTTCCTTATGAAGGGGTGGATGATATTGCTGAAGTTTTTAACTGCTACGATCCCTACATTCGGTTTACCATCGAAAAAGGAGATGATAATCAATCAGTTCGGTTTTTGGACTCAAGATTGATTCGCACCTACGATAATATATTAGTGGTATACTGGTACGGGAAACCAAT